TTCTTACGAATACAAACGGCTCCCTGGACTCTATACCCATGGATGCCTCCACCCATGGTTTGCCCTCCACGGTGGCAAATGTGGAATCAATGCCCGCAGCAGCAACATAGAAAAAAACCCATTCAAAACCAAACATTTAGAGAAACCTCACACTTCTCTGATTAATCACCTATGTACTTACTGACAGAAATGATGGTGCGGATCTACTCCCCACACTCTTTGGTGGCATCTTTACTTCAGCCTAACTCTCTTTCTACCACAGAAGAGGCAATCCTACCCCCATCTGCTAGCAATGCAGAGGAGGTTTCGTCCTTTCAGGACCTTTTTAGAAGAGCTGCAACAGATTTCAATATCTCCATGGAAGAGGTACAAGAATCTCACCATGAGCTCACAAACATCCTCCAGGCGACACCATCTGCAAAGATAGCTCTACCTATCAATTCAGCCATACTTGAACTGGCAAAAACCTTGTGGCAGACTCCTGCCTCGATACTACCTATATCTAAAAAGGCAGATAGGAAGTATTTTGTTCCCCTTAAGGGCTCTGAATTTCTTTTTTCACACCCCTCACCAAATTCCCTGCTAGTAGATGCTGTGTAGGAAAGAAATAAACAGCAGAACCAATCCACTCCATCTGAAAAAGACAATAAAAGATTAGACTCTTTTGGAAAGAAGGTTTATGTTTCTGCTATACTTCAGATGAGGGTAGCAAATTACACCGTGTCACTCAGTAAATACGATTTTAACAACTATGCAAAATTTAACACATTTATTGAACATATCCCTGATAACAAGAAGACACAGTTTAAAACTATCATCTCAGAAGGCCAAACGATATTACGTATAGCCAGGGCTTGACAAGCGGAGGCGAGTCTTGCTCGTCAGCTGCACGGTTTGGCATGCTGGGCTAAAATCTACTCACCATGGGCGAGTAGATTGCCCCAATTGTCGAGCCCTGCGTATAGCATTGCAAGCCACCCTCGATGCAGCAGATATGGCCACGAGGACAATAGTCACAGCGATCACCACGAGAAGGGCCTCATGGTTCAATTCTGCTTTTCCGCGTCAAATCCAACCAGCTGTGGAAGATCTCCCATTTGATGGCAATAAGCTATTCTCGACAAAGACTAATGAACTTTTGCAGTCAATGAAGAACTCCAAGGCCATACTTTGGTCACTTGGCATCCAAACATCTGCGACAACACCAAGGGTATGTCTACACTACCCCGCTAGTTCGAACTAGCGGGGTAATGTATGCATACCGCACTTGCTAATGAAGCCCGGGATTTGAATTTCCCGGGCTTCATTAGCATAAGCGGGGAGCCGCCTTTTTTAAATCCCCTCTGCTTCGAACCCCGTGCAGCGCGGCTACACGGGGCTCGAACTAGGTAGTTCGGACTAGGTTCCTATTCCGAACTACCGTTACTCCTCGTGAAACGAGGTGTACCGGTAGTTCGGAATAGGCACCCTAGTCCGAAC